GGTTCAGGCGGCGGCGGCGGCCGCGACGCCGGCTACGGCGGCTTCGCCGACAGCTTCGGCGGAGGGGGAAGTTCGACACAACCGCCCGTGCTTCTCCTCCTCGTCCTCCTTCTTTCTCCTCATTCTCTTCCGCCTCCTTCCTCCTCCTCCTCCTCCTCCTCCTCCTCCTTCCTTCTCCTCCTCTTCCTCCTGCTCCTTCTCCCTAGCGTCCTCCCCCCCTCCTCCTCCTCCTCCTTCTCCTCTGCTCCTCTTCTTCCTTAGGGAATCGGGGACCACACATTGACTCTGGCTTGTTTAGCGAGGAGGCTTGGGGCAACCGCCTAGCCATCCCTTCGTCGTCCTCCTTCTCCTCGTCCTCTTCCATCTTCTCCTCCCTCTGCTCCTTCTCCTCCTCCACTCCTTTTCCTGCAGACCTCCTCCGTGGCGCATCCCCCCAGGCGTGTTGGTCGGGCGAGGTCGGGCCGGCCGGGCGCTTCGCTCGAGACACTCTCGCCGCCTAGGATCCCGAGGCTGACAGGTGGCTCTCGCATGAGCGCCGCGCACGTTCGGCCTGAAGCATTGCTCGGGCGAGGAGAACTATGCACATGCACCGATCCTGGCAAGGCCCATCCTTGACCCAGGATCGGTGCATATGCCCTCCTGGCCAAGGTAGGAGGGCGTATGCACCGATCCTGGGCTCAGGATGGGCCTGGCCAGAATCATTGTATGTGCATAGTTATTTTTCCTCTAATTGCAGCGCCTGCAGGGGTGCACCCGGACGCCTTTCGAGCCGGGGCTCTCGCAGCAGGGCCGCGCCGCTCCGTCTTCCTGGCCTGCGTCGCCTGCGCTGGTGGGGCGGGCGGCTGGCACGAGCCGGAGCGCCGCGCACGACATCCCGCTGAAGAGCTTGCAGCAGTTGCGCGGACGGAGGGCGGTTCCCTGTCGAGACGGGGCTCGCGCCGTAGCGCCGCGCACAGGCCCTCGGGCAGTGCTTGCACCTGGGGGCGCATTGCCTCTCTTCCAAGGGACTGGGTCTGTGCGTCGGTCTGGCGGAGGGGCTCCCGCTCAGTATCCCCCCGGAGTGGATTTTGGGGGGGTGCCCCCCGAAATCTGGCCCTGGCCACGCGCGGAACGCCGGCGGAAGTCGGCGGAAATCCGGCCGAAGATGGCCGAAGACGGCCAGAAAACAGGCAGCTCGGGCCTCGCGCAGCGTCGAGGTGACGCAAGAGTATTCCAAGATGGCCCACGGCGATTCAAGGGCGTTCCAAGAGGGCCTGAGCTAACCTTAAGAAGGCCCCAGGCCCAGAGGTCCCAAGACGCCGCGAGAGGCCGTCAAGAGTACCCCAGGTCAGGTCAGGTCAGGCCTGCATGCCCGCGTAGGCCGGCCACTGAGGGCGCAGGCGGGGAACAGTTACAATTACAGCTTGCGTGCCAGCCCCAGTGGGAGCGGCCTGCGGGCCTCAAGCGTTAGGATGCACAGCCGGCCATGCGCGAACAAGAAAATCGATCATAGGAAACGGAAGAGTACCCCAAACAAGCACAAATGGCCCCATTCCCATGGGAAGACGTGCAATTCTCGGATGCCCGTTCTTTCGCTTCACCTGCGTCCAGGACAGCCTCCGAGGCCCCCGAGATCGCCCCAAGACGGCCCAAGACGCTCCCTAAAGGCCCCCAAGAGCCGCCCCGAGAGGCTCCAAGAGAGCCCCAAGAGGGTCTCGCAGAGACCCAAGACGGCCCAAGAGTGGCACCTGCGGGCCCCCAAAGCCTCCCAAGAGAGCCCCAAGAGCGCCAGGGGTGGCTCCACCAAGGGCCCCAAGACGGCCCAAGCACCCCAAGACGGCCCGAGAGAGCCCCGAAACGCCCCCAGAGGGCTCCAAGACTGCCTCAGTGGGCCTCGCAACGGACCCCCGAGAAGGGCTGCAGAGGCTGACCCCCAGAAGGCTCTGCAGCTGTCTTCTCGACACGCGTCCTACGGTGGCTCGCATGGCAGCGTGCTGAGCTGACCTCGTGGGTCGCTTGGTAATGTCACCATCGTTCCCTGTCATCGGCGAGCTCTGTCCTTCCTTACCCTCGTCGGCGGACTGCACATGCAGGTGGCTCGCATGGTAGCGTGCTGAGCTCACCTCGTGGCTCGATTGCTAATGTGATCACCTCACCCCGTGACCCGCCTCCTCTTTCCTCCCTTTCCCTCGCCGGCGGACGGTCATTCATTGTCCCTGGTTCCGCTGTCGTCGTCCCCCCCGCGACCCACCCCGCGACCCACCCGCGACCCACCCGCGGCCCACCCGCGACGCATCCGCGACCCACCCGCGACCCATTCCACGACCCACCCGCGACCCACCCGCGACCTACTTCCGACCCAACCGCCGCGATTCAACGGCCGCGATCTACCTGTGACCCACCCCGCGACCCACCCGCTACGACCCAGCCGCGACCCGCCCGCGCCCGCCCCTTCACTCTTATTCACAACTGCGGGGTGCCACGTAGCGTAAACACAGGTGTCTCACATGGTAGCGTGCTGAGCTCACCTTGTGGTTCGCTTGGTAATGTGCTCACCTGGTCCCGTGATCGGCGAGCTCTTTTCCTCTCCTCCCCTCTCCGCGCCTCCTGGGCTCACAGGGCCGCGTGCTGAGCTCACCCCGTCGTCGGCGTACTCTGTGTCTCCCTTTCTCTCTCCGTGCCTCCGTCGTTTCTTCGGCACACTCTGTCGAAACAACGACCAGTTCTTGTTATGGGACGGTTCACCTCCAGAGGGTCTTCCGCCTTTCGCGTCGACGTGGCCTCTTACAGCGGCACGCGGCACCACAGGTGGCTCGCACGGTAGCGTGCTGAGCTCACCGGGTGGCTCGCATGGTACTTTCCCTCTCCGTGCCTCCTGGGCTCGCGTTGCCGCGTGCTCAGCTTACCCCGTCGTCGGTGTTCTCTGGTTCTTCCGTTCCCTCGCCGTGCCTCCATCCTTTGTTCGGAATTCTTTGTCGAGGCGACGAACAGCTCCTGTTATGCGACGCTTCACCCCCAGAGGCCCCCCCCCCGCCTTTCCCAAAGACACGGCTTCTTACAATGGCACGTGCCACCGCAGGTAGCTCGCATGGTAGCGTGCTGGGCTCACCTGGTGGCTCGCATGGCACTGCGCTCAGCTCACCTTGTCGTCGACGTGCTCTCTTTCTCCCTTTCCCTCTCCGCGCCTCCTTCGTTCGAATGGTCGTATGCTCGTCTCACCCCGTAGCCAGCGAGCTCTGTTTTTCTTTTTCCGTTTCTTCCCTAACCCTGTTTGTTTGCGGGCCCGCCCATCCGCTGCCGTTTGGCTCAGCCCACACGCCCGCTTTATCTTTCCGTCCGCCACGTGCAACGGGGTTTTTTGAAGAGCTACAACTCCACGCTCTGGGTCGCGTGACTACGCCTACGAAGTGGCTTTCTACATTCACCTCGGATTTGATTTAGACATGGATCGCGACTCGTGGAGGCGGCTGGGAAGTTTCCCTGACATCGGGACTCCAAGGCTGGAAGCCATTCAAGAAGCAACGGCAAGGCACCTTCGACATCACGATCGAGGATTGGTGCGTCGCCCTCGGAGTGCCCTTCAAATGGTACCGCAATGACCTACGTTTGGAATGCGTCCAGCGAGTTCTGACTGCCGCGCGCCAACTTGTCCGTACCTCCCCTACAGCACTTCCCACCCCCTCCATTTTGCCTCGAACACTCACCACCAGCTTCGTTCGCAAATTGGTTGCAGAACGTGCAGATGCCTGGGAAGCTTCATTGGAATCGAGACTACAAGCCTGGAAGACAGTTCAAAGGCAACGACAGGGCACCTCCGACGTCACCCTCGAAACTTCGAATTTTCAGGTCACGGAAAATGGGTATGTTTCCACAGCCCGGCCCCGCGGTGCAACCTATGGCGATACCAGCGGCCACAGCGTAATTGTGTTTGTATTCCCAGACTTTGAAGAGGGGGTTCCGTTTAGTATCCCCCTGGGGGGGCTTAAGAGGTACGCCCCTCGATCTGGCCCAGTCACGGGCGGAACGCCGGCGAAAGCCAACGGAATTCTGGCCAGTGACGGCCGGGGACGGCCGCAATTTGGCAGGCGCGCTTCTGGGCGTCACGGGCAGCCCCAAGATGGTCCGCAGGATGGTCCAAGAGGGCCGAGCGTCGCCGACTGATCGGCCCAGACCGCCCAATATGATTCCCGGACAGCTCACAGAGAGCTATAAAAGAGGGTTTCGGATGAAGGAGCAGGGGAGCCGCAGGGCAGCCCCGGAGGTCGCTCCGGCTTCCGGCCTTGACTCCCCGGCGCGGGCTGCTTGATGCTGCAGCGGGTCCCGAGAGGCCTTTTCGCTGAGCGTTTCCCCATACGCGTGCCCGGAAGCTCTCCAAAAGGTCCTTCGGAAGCTCTCTCCAGGTCCTTCCAGAAGTCTTCGCCAGGCCTTTCCACGCCCTTCTGGCGCCTTGCTATCCGGGGTTTGGACCCCACAAGTTTCCATACGACCCAAGAAGTTACAAAACGATCCGGGAAACCTTCAGGAGGCCCCCCAGGGGAGCCCCAATAATCAACATTGGCTTTTTTTTTGGGGGGGGGGTCGTATGTTTTTCAGCGTTTTCGCTTTTTCGGCCTCCCGACGCTCCAACACTGCCCAAGAGACTTCAAAGATCGCCCCAACACGGCCGAAGAGGCCCCCAAGAGAGCGCCCAGACGGCCCAAGACGCCCCCTAGACAGCCCAAGAGGCCTCCAAGACGGCCGACGAAGGTCCTAGGAACGCGCCCAGAGGGGCAGAAGCCTCCAAGAGGCCTCAAGAACCCCCCCTGAGGCCCCCCAGACGGCCCCGAGAGGGCCCCAAGACAGCCCAAGAGGGCCTGGGGATTGTTGGAAACGATTTGACAGAGCGTCACAGCGTCAAACGGACCGCACGGGAACCAACACAACGCGCCCTACAGGCATCCTCTTCTTTGCGTGTCTCTTTCTCGCACGTGACGCCCATTTCTCCTCGAGGGTCGGGGCGCATGGCAATCTCCGAGGGTCCCAGGGCCCGAGGTCGTGCGAAAACGCCCGTTGTGAAAAGAATGCGCCGCCGGGAGCTGAGGCTAGCTCCGCAACTCCGCAGTCGCTTGGGTGCTCAGGGCCTCCTGTCCCAAGCTGTACCGCGCCCTGCATCCGTATCTTCCCTGGCCCGCCTCGCCACAGCCGCCCAGCCAGCAACATGTGGCGCCTCGCGCCAGCCCCGCTCCTGCTGTCGGGGGCCCTGGGCCTCCAGCAGGCGCCCTCGGCAGGCGAGCAGGAGTTCGCCGCCTGGATGAGCACGCAGGAGCCGAGTTACAGTGGAGGCCCACGCCAGGAAGCACCCGGCTTGTCTCCAGGGTGCCCCGGGGGTCCTGGGTCTCGATGGCCCCGCGACGGGGAGCGCGGCGCCCCCACGCCAGAAAAAAAAGAAGGACTCGGACGCCCTGGGGCCTCGGGGCCGGGCTTCTCGTGGACGGCTTCCTGGGGACCGGCCTCCACGCTGCAGGGGGATCGAGTGCACAGTGGGGGCGTTTCGACGCGGGCCCGGCCTTGGAGCGTCGAAGGGGGTGCCGCAACTCTTGTGCCGCGGCGGCGGAGCGGCGGCAGCCTCCGCCGGCGGAGGCCGGCGGGAGCTCAGCCGAGGCAAGTATATGGACCCGCCGCCAAGAGACGGCAGCAGCCCGTTTGGGTTCAGGGCTTCCAGGATCTGCCAACGGATCGGCTCACACTTCTTGTCTCAAGCAGTGGCGAAGCGTCCTGGCTCGCCGACAGTCCCACGAGAGAATGTTCTAAGAACCTCGTGTGGTTCCAGCGGAATTTTCTTAGAGCATTTCTGGCTGGTGCCGTCTTGTTTTAACACATAAGGCTCAGGTTCTAAGAACATGGTTTGTGTTATTGAAACGTTTTTGGGGTTCTAAGAACACTTCGTGGTAGGACTATAGGAATGCCGGGACGGTCGGTCCCTGCTCAATCGTCGTCGAATCCATGAAAACACGTATTTCGCGTGTTCCTACATCGATGAAGGCTCTACGCACTTCTGGCAGATTCGACGAGGAAACCAGCTCTGGGGCAAGTCAATTCTGTAGTCGATCCCCCAGTCGAAGGAGGCGCGCCCGTGGGGCCAGGAGTTGTCTTTCGAGGACCTCGAGGACAGGGCCTCCGAGGACCAGCTCGCTAAGACGAAGGAGCTCAAGGCGTCGGCGCTGGCGGGGATACGGGAGTCGACGTCGAGCAACCTGCACAGGGCGGAGATGGAGGTCGACGCCTCCTCGGCACTGGAGGGCTTCGCGGAGCCCCTCAACGAGACCGAGGCTTCCGAGATCGCCGACGCTTGGCTCACCATCCCGGGCACCGATGTCACCTTCAGCTACAACACCCACTGCGACCCAGTGGCGGGCTGCCGGAGCAGCGGCCACAAGCTTGGGCAGCCGTCCTTCCAGGAGATGCATCGTAACATGCTGGCCTCCCTCCGTGCCATGCGCTTCTGCTTCAGCGACGTGCTCGTGATCCTCGACGTCCCCCACGCGGGCCACGACAAGGTCGGCCCCGAGACGCCTGGCAACGTCTCCAGCCACATGGTTGTCCCGAAGGAAGCGCCGGGTTCCTTCAGCGAGATGCGGCTAGCGGCCGGCCAGAGTGTCAAGAGGTTCAGCGTGGACTCTGGGCTCTCAACGGCGGCCTCCGCCACCGCCAAGGCCGCTGCGGAGTTGCTGCGCGACCACTGCCCCGCCGCTGCCCCACAGTGGAAGGTGAAGGTCATGGACTATGGCTCCGAGGAGGTGCGGCAGCGGGCGCTTGAGCACTACGCCATCCCAGACGGCGAGAAGAGCAGCAGCTTCTTCGATAGCATGTACATCAACACCATGGCTCTGGACGAGAATTTCCAGGCCAGGAGCCAGTATGTGTACCACATGGACGCTCAGTGGCGTCTCTACAGAAGCAACTTCTCGAGGAGCACGCCTAACTTCATCGAGAAGGCCGTGTCCCTCATGAAGGCGGACAGCCGAGTCTACATGGCTTCCGTCATCAACACCTTCAACCTCGAGCCCCAGAAGAACCCATACAACAAGTTCGCAGTGATTCCCGGGTCCGTGCATGGCAGCACCCCTCTCGAGCGTGTGAAGGGCATGCTGCAAGGCTGGAGCAAAGACCAGTGGCTGTCGCAGAAGCGTCCGCTCCGCGGAGAGGCTTTCCACGGGAAATGGGAGGACCCTGAGGCAAATCAGAAGCTCGCGCTCTTCAAGATGAACTGGGAGAAATGGGGGGGCATCGTCACCCGTCACCAGTTCCTCATGGACACGCAGCGCTTCAAGAGCCTCTTCCCGCTCGAGGAGTGGGACACAGCGGCGGAGCACATGTGGTCTTCGAACATGAACAAGAAGGCCCCCGACAGCGCCTTCCAGATCTACTTCAACGAGACGGTCGGCATCTTCGCCGGCCCCTCCGAGGCCTGAGCAAGGCGGCCCCCCACCCAGGCCCTGTCTTATGATGCTCCAACCTACTTTAGCGTTGATCACCAGGAAGAATTTCGAACGGCCAAACAAAGTACCGAAGCTCAGGGTTTTCACGCGTCGGGCCCTGGGAGACATTCGCCCGACACTGTTTCGACACTGTTCCGACACTCTTTTGACACTTTTCTGGGTGCTCGAAACTATTTCTGTGATGTGGTCCTGAAGTAGGATGGAAGCAACATAAGCCCTGTCCAGGAGCGGCCGTCCCCTATTGCACTGCGCAGGCGAGCCCTTGCGCATGCATCTCCGTCGATATTCTTGGAGCGGCGCGCCCGTGCACCGCAGGATTGTCCTTTTGCGAGCGCGCCTCGATCGCCGCTCCCTCCTCTTCCTCATGCTCCTCCTCCTCCTCCTCCTCCTCCTCCTCCTCCTCCAATTCCTCCTCCTCCTCCTCCTCCAATTCCTCCAATTCCTCGATGCTCCTCCTCCAATTCCTCATGCTCCTCCTCCTCCTCCTCCTCCTCCTCCTCCGGCGCTCTCCTGGTGACGCACGCCGCGCGCGGGCGGGCTCGCGTCCCGGCCCGCTCCGAGCGCTCTGCCGCCACCCCCCCCGAGGCTCCCCTGGCCAGCTACAGCACAGCCAAGACGCTGAAACTAAAGGGAAATTAGAACACACAAATAAATACACACAAATAAAAAGATTCCCCATATTTTCCCATATTTTCTGGGTTTTGTCTTCCCCCCCACTTCCCATATTTTCCCATATTTTCCGGGGAATCGCCGATTAATTGTGTCTGTGTGTTTCTTTCCCTCCTGAGAAATAAGGAACAGTCTGGGTTCGGACGGGGCTCAATGTTCCTTAGGCCCCTCCAGTGCTCTTCCTCTTGCCCTCCCGGGGCACGGAGTCGCTCACAGGGCCAAGAGGGGGCTTCGTTCCTTCTTTGGCGCTCCTTCTTTCAGCAGCCCCACTGTAGTCACACCGGGTACGGTAGGTTCCTGCGGCGTTGGCGCGCCGGCGACGCCGGCGAAGGCGTTCGAGGTCGAGTTCTTCGGGCGTGGACAGAACACCAGAGCCCCGAATCATCAGGGGTAACTCGGGTCAGGGATAACTCGGGTTCCTTATTCGGGAATCCAAACCCGAGTTACCCCGGACCCGAGTTACCCCGGATAACTCGGGCGCCCAAGAACACCCCCACCCTGGCACGCCGATTCTTGAGCGGTCCGTTTTCGGCTCTCGAGAGGGCGCCGCGCCCGTCATTTGCCAGGCTTGGGCCCGCCAGGTCTGGGCCCGAGGCCCAAGGACGTTTCCACTATAGTTAAACCACGCTTTACCAAAGCGGGTTCTGTCCATCCCCGAGCTCTGCGACGTGGAAGCACCGAGGGGCACGGCACTGCCACTGTGCACGACGGAGCTCAACCTCCAGCCATCGGGGCCACGATCGATTCGAGGTCGGACGATCGGCGCGGTGTCAACAAACCTCTGCGCGCACCGACGCCGCACGAGCCCACCGTACGGTTGGCGTGGCGAAGCTGGCGTGCGCGGTGGCGCCGCCGGCCTGCTCGCTGCATGCTTCCGGGGGGGGATTTGTACATGACCGCCGCCTGGAGGATGGATGTTCGGGGACCTCGGCAGGCGGTGGACATGAGTAGATTCGGGCACCGGGGGGCCAAAATATATCCATCTCCAGCGCCCGCTGGGGCACCAGGACGTCGGTTCCCAGGCGGTGGGTGTGGATAAGTTCCCGCCTCGCAGTGCTGTGCCCACCGTCGAGGATACCGTGCGCCGAAGAAGTTCTGGCAGGGGCATGGCGTGTTCAGAGGGAGTCCTCGCATGGGGGATCGCCTCGTAGGCGTAGCGTGCACGGAGGAAGCTCTATCTAGGGGAGCAGCGTGCTTTCCGGAGATCGGTGCTGCAAGCTGCCTTTGCGACGCCAACCGTAAGCCATGGGCCTGCCACCGATTGCCCCGTGAGAGTCTCTTGTCTCTCAGCGGGTCCGCATGGCCTTGGAGCCTCTTGCGAAGATTGGAGTCGACGAAGGCTCTGCCTTCGGCGTCGAGCGAGGGGGAAAATGAGAAGGAGAAGGCCTTCTCAGAAGGCGGCGGGACTTCTCAGAAGCCCTTGGGCCTTCTGAGAAGCTTCCTGTGCCTTCGGGGAAGGCTCCGAAAACTCCTCGGAAGGCGGGGGGACTTCCGATCCTTCAGAGAAGGCGTGGCCCTTCTCACTTCCCAGACCCTCAGCGTCATGATTTCTTCATAACGTCGAACCCCCGATGGCTGGACCCATTCCCCAGGACCGGCTTTTCGTCCTGAGTCGTTATTTGACGGTCCTGAGGCTCAGCAGGCCCTGGAAGCCGAAAGTAGCGAAAGGCCCGCCCCTTCCCAGCCCCCCCCCCCCTGAGCTCGCCGCCGATCACGGATGTCTCGTAGCAGTCAGGTGAGCGTTATTTGTTTTGTTTTTCTCTCCGGCGTAACGCTCGTTGCCCGGGCCAACCCTCCCCTTCCCCCCCCTCCGGGTAACGCTCACGATTGTGCTGTGGGGGAGGGGGGGCCTGGCCCCCCCCCTCCCTGCATGCTGGGAGCGGAACGCCCGCAAGGATGGTGCGGTGCTCATTGGCATGGCGTGGTCTGAACGGCACGCATTAAGACTCACACACGTGTTGTGGCGCTCGCAGTCATCGTTGTCGTCGTCGTCGTCGTCGGTCGCGGTCGTCATCGTCGTCGTCGTCGTCGTCGTCCAATGCAGGTGGCGATGGCTCAGCTACCGCAGGCTTGTTCGACCACTCTTCCGCAAGTGCAAAATGCGGTGGCTCTCTCTCTCTCTCTCTCTCTCTCTCTCTTCCTTCTGCCGGTGCCCGATTGTAGTGCGATGTAGTCAACGCGCGTTCTCGAGGGTATCCTTGTGTCCTTGCCTCTGCGGCCTGACCTTCTCCGCTTTCATTGGCTAGCTTCTGCGCGCAAGTCTCAGCTTCGGCTCCCACGGGTCTTGCGTCCTTGCCACCCGTCCTTAGTACACGTATTGGTTGTAGACCCAGCGCCATGGAGAAGATGAAGCCTCGGCGGCTCCGCGCCTACTCCCGCGGGCGCCGTGGCGTGCGCAGGCGTTGCGGTTCACGCAGGCAGCGTGGTGCACATTGGCGCTGGGTCGCACACGGCTGCTCCGGTGTACACATGCGTTGTCGTGTACGCAAACGCTGTGGTGCACGCCGGCATTGTAGTGTACACCGACGCTGTGTTGCGCGCGGCTGTTGTGGTGTACGCAGGCGTTGTGGTGTATGCAGGCGTTGTGGTGCACGCGTGTAGAATCCTCAGGCGCTCCAGTTTCCATAGGGATTCTTGCAAATCGTGCATCTAAAACGTTCGTTGTCGGTGGAATCCAAAGGCGCCCTATTTCCAGAGGTTTTTTTTTTATATCAACAACGGCTTTTCTGTGGAATCCACAAGCGTTTCGCTTTCCATAGCGATCCTTTTTCAAATTCTGTGTAAAAACAGGGCTATGTGGAATCCCGAAACGATCCATTTGTTATCGGGTTTTCTTGCGTAATCCTATTTAACAAATCGTTGTTTGTAGAGTCTGATTATAAGCAGCAGTTGCTGCAGTATACACAGGCATTGCGGTGTGCATGGGCGACGTGGTGCTGCAGTGTACGCGGCTGTTGTGGTGTACGGAGGCATTGTGACGGGTACACATGTGGCGCTGTGTTGCACGCAGGCGTTGGGCACAATCATGTAAACAGGCGATTGATGCGCCGGTGGCGCGGACGCACCCTGGCGGGCGCACGCCGCGGCCACCCTTACCGCTACCTTCCCGCCCGACCCCCCACCCCCCCGAGTAACGGCCGTTACCCCGGAAAGTTAAAACAGTTACCAGGGCGCTGACAGGAGGACCGCGCTCGGTTCCGTAGTGAGCAATGCCTCTGGTTCCCCGGTGGTCGTGCTTTTCGGAAGCTTCTTCGTATGGCCTAGGCCCGCGGTCGCCCCGGACAACCCTTCTTTTTGTTTGTTTTTGGCATCGCTCCGACTTGTGTTTTTTTTTTCTCGGCGAGGACCATCGAGGAATTCGGTAGCAAATCCTGGGAGTCTGTCGTACCCAGCAAATTCCGTTTTTAGCGTCGGTTCGCGTCTGGGAGACGATGAGATACACCCGATGTTGCGTCGGTTAGCGTCGATTCGCGTGGATTTGACGTCGAGCAGCGTCGATCAGCGTCGATTCGCAACAGCCAACAAGATGGTATGGGAGGCTCCCATGAGTTGCCACCGAAGAGGAGCATCCTGGATCATCTGGCCAAAAAGCACGCACGAAATCGAAACATGCACTTGTGGAACGGACACCCGAGCAATGGCGAGTCATTCCTTGATCATCTCTCCCTTTGGTAGCACGATGACTGTAGCAGGATATCTTGTCGCATGTGCCCACTACAGGCTAGAATCGGGTTTGTCAGAGGAGGAAAAGATACCCATACTGCCTTCCCGCTGCCTGTTTCCCCTTGTTTGGGCCTCCTGGGAGGCCCTCGTCGCCACCGCTGAATTCGCTTCGAAATCCTGGTCAGAGCGCACCCCAGGAGAGGTCCGGGGAGTAGCGGTATCGGGACCTTTTGATGCCCCCAAGAATCGGGGTAGGGGGTCCACATGCCCCGGTCGAGCAGCTTCCGCTGCGCAGCGGTTCGCCTCCCTCTTTTCCTCCCCCTCCCCCAGGTGAAGCGCACATCGTGTGGTCGGCGCGCAGGGGCGCTGGACAGGGGGGCGGTGTCGCGGGCCTCCTCGAGGACTGGCGTCCCCCCAAGAAGACCGGTAAGTGCGCGTTGTTCTGCCTCTTCCAAAGGGCAGGCCAGCGCCACGCCAGGAGCCCCAAGGGGCCCTTCGGCGCCACGTCCAGCTGGCGTGCCTCGACATCGTCGTTGCCGAGTCCTTCCGAGTTCTCCCCTTCCCCATCCCCCCCCCCCCAGGATGCGCGAGGGAGAAGCGTGGGGAGGGTGATGCGGACAAACGGGGGGAGACGGAGAAGGATGCCTCTCCTCCTCCTCCTCCTCCTTCTCCTCCTCCTCCTCCTCCTACCATCTCCCTCCTTCATCCCTCACCCTTCTTATCCTCCTCCTGCTCCTACCTGCTCCTCCTCTCTCTGTCTCTCTCCTCCTCCTCCTCCTTCTTCTCCTCCTCATCCTCCTCCTTCCCCTCCTCCTTCCGCCTCCTCCCTCCGCCTCCTCCCTCCGCCCCCTACTCCCTCGCCCTCCTGCTCAGCCCCAAGTTTCCGATGGCACATGACACGAAGGGGTGTCTTTGGGAGTTCCAAGGCCGTTAAAGCCAAGACGCTGAAATATGGAACAGTTCGGGCTCCGGAAAAAAGGGGCTCCATGTTCCCTGGGTCCTTCTGTGGCCGTTCTTCCGGCGTGCCTCGGGCAACCGGGCTCTTGTGGCGCCCGACGAGGTGCGCCGTTCTTGGGTCAG